CACGTTCACACACACACACACACACACACACACACTCATCCGCATCAGTTATCTGTATCACACGTTAATTCCCTTGAGGCTCATTCATTTTACATTATCTGGAAGCATTTGCACATAGTAGCTGTTCAATAAATATCGTTGGTACTATGCTGTACAGAATGGCACCGATGATGTTTTAATAGTCTAACTCAAAATTGTTTTTCAAAACATCCAAAAATTATGCTCAGCACTGATTAAAAAGTAGTGGTATTTAATCCATCTGAAGCATCCTAGCTGGAGGTGTGGACCTGCCCCCAGCCATTAAAATCGCCATGGCAGGCTCTCCGAGGCAAGGCCAGGAGAAGAAGACGGGCTTACCTTGCCGGCCCTCACATCCCAGGCTTTGACCTCAGAGCTGAAGCCCCCACACACAAAAAGGTTGTGGTCTTTCGGATGGAATTTCAAGGTAGTGACTCTGAAGTTACTCTGACCGCTGAATACCTGGGTTCCTACAACACAAAAAAGAGAAGAGAAAAAAAATACTCAGATCACAAAATAAGTATCTTTAAGACAAAGACGCCACCTGGGATGGAGCTACCGGCCAACACCGCCCACCTGGGCCCGAGGCGGCCAGGGGAGACTTCCTGGAAACACAACAGCGGCGGCAGCTCGGCCACCGGGCCCTGATTAGCGGGACCCCCTCCCCGGGGCTACGCTAGTGGCTGGATCCTTGAACGCCGCCTTCTGTGTGCTCTGACCCACTTTACAACAGAAACACCCCACACTGGGGAGGCTGAGCCACATGGCCAAGCTGCACAGCTCACACAGCGGAGTCGCTACCTGGGGTCTGCAAGTCTGATGGAAACCAGGGGCCTCCAGAGTGGTCTTTGTAGGACAACCTTAATCACCCACAAAGGGTTTGTACTGAGCCTGGAGTGGGGGTGGCAGGAGACTCTGGTGACAGAGGAGAGTGTGACATCACATTGGCCCAGACGCCCGATGTGCAGGTGGTGTGGACCCTCCAAGTCCCACCGGTTCTGCAGGACTCGAGTCCGTCCGTGTCCTTATGTATCGGCCATCAGACGGGCATCAAGCACTTACATGCCTTGTGCAAGTGTCCGTGTGCCCTGAGCTGGTCTGGGGGGCTCCAGGCCAGCGCTCCTCCGTCTTCACAGTCGCATCTCGCACCCGAGCACTGGCTGTCGTTCTCATGTGTCCAACTCAACCCCCCAAAAGCGCAGTGAGGAACCCGGCTGGCGTGGGGGCCGTTCTCAACACTGAGAGTCTGAGGGCTGCCTCTGTGCGTGTCCCCAGGCCCAGGCCACCCCACCAGGTCACGCCAACCTGGCGGCTTCCTGTAGAGAAGCCGACAAGGGCTCTCCTGGCCCACAAGGGACACACCTGACTGCCGCTGGCCCATGGAAAGTCCCCCAGTGGACTGAGGCAGCGGGCAGTGAGGGGCACAAGAAGCTGGTGGCCAAGAACACCGACCTCTCCCGTGTCACTTCCTCTTACAGAAAGCACTTCCTGAAGGCTGCCCTGCTTCGTGTTCAGGACCCCACACACCTGGTGGAATGTCCCACCACATCACCAGGGAAGGACATGAGAGCCACTGACCGGTACCCTGACCTGGATGGGTCTCGGGGCTGTCTGACCATGTGCCCCATCAGTGAGAAGCCGGGAACTCACACCGCCAACCTCTACACGCTTATTCATTAGTGATACAATGTGCTCTGTACCAATATGCTCTGCACATTACAACAAATACCAAAAATAGACTATTTTAAAGGATGAGACAAGGAGAAAATAACCAGTATTTTTAAATATATCAACATGCCATTTACGAAGAGGATCAACAAACTGCTTTGAAATCATTAATAAGTCCTAATATTTTCAGTAAGAATGACAGGACTGACTATATTTCCCTTTTTTTCAATGCAAGGAACTTTTTTGTCAGTCGGTGATTTGAAAGTAGCCCGGTTCCAGCCTCTGTTTATCCCCTAAAGTCTGTCCGAGCCACAAAGCCCCTTCCAGAAGCGAGTGGACGGGGGTGGGGGGTGGGGGGAGATGCTCACCCTCGGCCCACTTCCACCCAGCTCTGCGAGCAGTGTGCGGACATGTAGCTCTAAAAGCCCCCTCCGCCGGTGTCAAATACTGACTCCTGCAACTTAACAACCCCATTCAAAATCCATTGAAATTTTCATTGCAAGTATTTTAAAGCTGATTAGAAAAATGCTGTTCCCATGTTAAGGGTGCAGGTATTAGAGTTTTTAATAGGCGACACTTTACATCGAGTTTGGCAACGAAAATTACAGAACGATGGGAACAATTAAAAACATGTTTTCCTAACGTTCTTTTGGCTGAACAAATTTTTTCGAAAGCAGTTTCCCTCGTTCTCTGCTAAAGCCTCACATTCGCCTTAATGAATGAATAAGTGTGTTGACTTTTTCCTAATATCTTCCAGAGGCCGACAATTGGCAGCCACTTGTCATCAGAGAAAATTTTGGAAACACTTGACCTTTTACAAATGAAGACTAAGCCTAATAAGCCCCTTGACTATTCTGCAACAAAATGCAATGTGCAAAGGTGCTCATGGCCATCCCGGGTCATTTCGGCCTGTCACTGGTACCGGTGAGGGACCGCACACAGCAGCCCAGTGCCCCGCACCGCTCCCGCCCCCCCGCCCCCAGGGGCGGCGGAGGTGAACACAGTGCCCTGCCTGGCGGGATGCTGAAAAGCCGTGTGACACTGGAATCAGAAGCAGCGCTCTGTGGGCGATGGACAATGCCTGACACCTGTTTCTGAATTACAAGAGGACGAAGCAGGACTGACGTGGGCAAAGGCTGGGAAGAGATTCGCCAGCATGAAGTGACTTTAAATTGCACTCATGTTTTTGTAACCCTGCTTCCTAAAAATGAAGGATTCTAGAAAGACACGGGGGGATGAGCAGACTTGGGGTGGGCGAGTGCTCCATCCCTGTAATTAGGGAAGCAGCAATTAATTGATCTGGTTGGAAACCTGGTATTCCTCGAGCTGGTTCTTTTCCTTCCTGAAGCCCGTCTGGAACCCAAGAGGGTAGTCAGGACCCAACCATGATGTCCTCAGTTAGCAAGTTCCCATCCCGGGGAGGAGGAGCAGGCAGGCACCCCCCTTCTGTCTCCACTCCCCCATCCATCCGGGACTGGGGGCAGCACCACAGAACATCCAGGTCGGGCCTCTGGCCTGCAGCACAGGTCTGAAGACACTGGCTCCTGCCTGGTGGCCGGGGACCCCACTGGGGGCTGAGGGCAGGCCCCAGTCATGTCCTCTGGGTGGAACAGGAGCTCTCAGACGCCAGGGCAGCCTGCACCCCACCAAGAAGGCCCCCGCAGGCTGAGTCTTTTCTCCTGACGGAGACGACGGTGCCTACTGCCGACTTCTTGCTCGACTGGGATTCACTGCCAATCCCGAGTCCAAAAGGAAAAACAAGCTCGTCTGCCTGGAGAAAAATGTCTCCCTCTTTCTTGGAGCACAGCACAGAACATATGCTTGTTTCAGAAATGGCAGTGAACTCGCCTAGGTTTTCAAAAAGTGCAGTGACACAGTCTTGCCAACAATGGGGAGGAGACGGGAGGGAAAGTGAGAGCTGAGTTGCTAAAAGATGATGATTGAGCTTTTGGTGGTTAAAAAAAAAAAGTATTTCTGAATATGTTATTCTTCCTCAACCCTCTAAGGAGATTGAAAGAGTCTATGTCTTTTCAGAACTAAAATTTTCCAGTTAGAAGACAAGCTAGAGTTTATATATTTTCCCTATTCCCACTTACTGTATAACAACTAAGCCTTTACCATATTCCTTTGTTAAAAAAAATTCAAAACGAAAAGATTTTTTAAGTGTTAAAGACTAAGATACCCAATGGGAAAGACTAAGGGGGAATTTCTGTTTGGTGAGGCAGCCTCGGACAAGACGAGGCTCGGAAACCAGGCTCCCAGCCGCCTCGTCGGCATGTTCTCGGCAGCGGGAGGCGGTCAGCAGAGCAGTCGAGCATCCCAGGGCCCAGTCTCACCCCAGCTCTGCCACTTCCAGTGGAGGGGCCCCGGGCATGCCCCCTGGCCGCGGGGTCGCACACACGCCCTCAGGAACACAAGGCTGTCGGCGGGCACACGCAGCAGGTACACAAAGCACTCCACATGGCAAGGCAGACAGCAAACTACAAAAGGGAGCTATTGTCGTTTGAGAAAATTGGACCGGAATGACTGAATTCATCCTTGGTTACATTAAAAGCTGAAGCTGAGGGATGTGGGTTCTGAGCAGCAGAAACCTTGAGAGGTGGATGACTTGGAGTTTTTGTTGCGAGGCCATGAGAACATAATGCTGGGGGCTGGCCTGTGCGTCTTGCTAAGGAGATATGGATAGAGGCTGGGAACCATTTATCGGAAACGGTCTTGAACAGGAACCGCGGCCTCGCTGGGGGTGAAGGTCCTGGCGTGCGGCGCTGTTGCTCCTCGGACCTTTCATAAACCGAGCAGACTGCTTATCGGGGCCTCTCCTGGCGACGCTCCGTGAAGCACACAGTTAGCTGCTATGTAACCTTTAACCTTGAGACCATCTCGCTTGTCTACATGTTTGTTAAAGAAAATTCTATTACTCACTGTATGCTGCTTATAGGAAATTGAGTTTTAAAATATGTAATCCACTAACACAGACTGTATTGATCTTGTTATAATGAAATCAACCAATATAAGAAGTGTTGATCCTCTTGGAGTTAGGAAAAATCACTTCTTTTTCTTCCTCAATCAATAATGACACAAATAAACTAAAAATCGTCAGCAAAAACATGTTTAAAACAGAATGCAGGAACTCGATCCGTTCTCTTGACACTGTTATTACTGCTAATGCTTCCATCACTAATGTTGCTTTGAGAAGGCAGCTGGTAACACTGGCCAGCTAACTCCTTGAAGTTGTCCCTCTTCCTCTCTCAGGTGCAAACAGCGAGGTCGCCAGAGGCGACCACCCACACGCGGCCGGGGCGACACTGCCTGTCCACCCTGCACCTACCCTGGGCCACCCAATCAACACACAGGGCTCCAGGTTTGCAAGGGTGAGAGTCCTCCTCTTCCTCTCAGCCCAGTGCAGAGAAATCCAAGAATGGTCCCCAAGAAAGAGAAGGGAGATCCGTGCCCCCTTCTCCAGGAGATGGCCCGTTATTTCTGGGCCTGCCTGGGGTGGGCACCTGTCCCGCCACAACCCTATGTGGCCGGTGTACTTAACGCATTTCCCAGCTCGGGAGACGGAAGCTCGGCGAGGCGCAGCTTCCTCCAGGGCCACGGGAGTCCGCCGTGCCGGATGGAGGCCAGACCTGCCTACCAGCGCCCAGCTCTCCGCACCCCGCCGTGCCTGCCTGCGAGCTGTGCGTGACCCTACCTTGTGCTTAGCTCTTTGTGCACATCCAGAGACTCGGGACCACGTAGGGAAGACGTTGACAAGGGAAAGCTGATGTTGTCAGCTCCTGGTGATTGAGCCTGCGCTCCC